GCCTGCACAAGAGAGGGTCTTTTCTTTCCGTCCCTTGAGTTTTTGCGCAACTTTGTCAACAACGTTGTTAAACATCTATTTCTTTTTCCTCCCTATAGATGCTGGCAAGCCTAAATACTTAGTGTATTGTTCAATAACTCAATCTCCCAAAATATTAAGAATGGTAGTCTAAGCATCCATAGGAACATTTTTGCTAAAAGATATCTTCGACTTCTTCAGATATATTTTCTGCCCAAAGTAATCTCATATTGTTGAAGGATATTGGTCATAATAAAATTGAGTAGCATTTGCCCGACCAAAAATAATACTGTCATCTGCAAAAAAGAGATGAAAGACAGATGGGGCTCTCCTGCAAATTTTAATCCCATGTAATTGGTGGCGAGACTATGCACGACTGATGAGATTAGAAAAAACTTCTGCACATATCAAAAACAAATATGGAGATAATGGATTGCCTTGACAAAGTCCTCTCTGAGGATAGAAGACTTCACTATGCTTCCCATTTATTAGCACTGAATATAAAATAGAGGAAACACAACGCATAACAATATCCACCCAAGTTATAGCAAAACTCATTTTAAGCATAACAGACCTCAGAAAAGGCCACTCCACCCTATCATACGCTTTACTCATATCAAGTTTTAAAGAAAAAGACCATTTCCTACCTTTAGTCGTTTTCTTTATGAAGTGAAAAATCTCAAAAGCTAGTAAAGCATTATTAGTTATAAGACCACCTGGTATAAAAGTAGATTTAGACGGACTAATGATAACAGGTAAGACAGTTTTTAACCGATTGGCAATGACTTTCATAATAATTTGACATTACATAAACTGATGGGCCGAAAATCTTTAGCATGAAGCAGGTTTTTAATCTTTGGGATCAAAGTAATAAACGTCTGATTAATTGATGCAGGAGATTTAAAATGGATAAAACTTTTTCCTTAACAAAAAATTGACCTAAAATATGCCATAATTTTTGAAAAAGGAAAGGAGGCATACCTGGTGGTTTGGAAGGATGCATTTGGCTGAGTGCTAGACAAATCTCATCAGAAGTGAAGGGCTTACAAAGATCAGAATTCAATTCCGCTGTAACCTTGGTTTCCATAGTATCCAGTGCAGAAGTCAAATTTGATGAAGCCGAAGAAGAGAACGATGACTTAAAATAAGTAGTAACCACCTTAGCAATATAATTCTCCTTGTAAAATCGGTTACCATTATCATCCTCAATCTTCTCAATATTATTCCGATCCTAGTGAAAAGATGCCTTCTGATGAAGGAAAGCTGTATTCTTATCCCCCTCCTACAACCACTGGATACGCGAGCATTGAGCCCACATCAACTCCTCCCTCTTAATCAGCTCATTTAATCGATCATCTATCTCTTTGCTTCAGAAGAACAGAAGGAGATTGGGTACCCATTTGTAACTTATGAAACTGCTCAAAAATAGTCTGAAATTTGTCTGTTAACCATCCCAAAATGTTGTCATTCCCATTTGCACATAGTTCATCCTGATTGGGTAAGACGATTCTCCAACTCATTATGGATAGTTAAAGGGTCACACCAAGCATTACGAACTGCCTCAACACAAGACGGTTCTCGTAACCACATGTGTTCAAACTTAAAAACTCATTTTCTTTGTCTTTTACACTGCGTGGTAGAGAAATTAAAAAACAGTTGGAGAGGACAGTGATCTAAACCTTGTCACACTAAGTGGCTAATAAAATAATTAAAAAATAGTTGCACCCATTCCTCAGTAGCTACAAATCTATCCAAGCATTCCTCAATCAATGTATTATCAGTGTGACCATTACTCCATGTAAATCGACAACCATTAAAACCCAAATCTTGAAAGTTGCAAAAATTCAATGCATCATGAAATGCGTTTAACTTCCTCTCCTGATTTTTCATGATGGAAAAGAACTTCATTAAAGTCCCCTCCATAGAGCCAAGGCAGATTTGAAAGACCTTGCAAGCTACATAATAAATACCAGGAGAGATGCTGATTATTTTCTTCTGGCCATCTATAAAAGCCAGTAAAACGCCACTGGTTATCAACCACCACATTGACATGATTAAAAGATGAAGACAAAATCTGAATATCCATTTCACTTGACCATATAAATCCCAATCCTCCTTTCCTACCCACAACTTGGTCACAAGAAATTGCAAAGTGATTAGGAAAACCACACCGGTTACTAACCTGACTAAACTCTTGTGATTCCAACTTGGTTTCCTTTAGAAATAAAAATTTGGGAGACTTATTCAAACTTCGAACTGCATTGAGGTTCCCAAGCCCCCTGCAGTTCCATACTATCGAACTTATAGCATTTGACGGGGTTGCAAAGTAACCTCTGCCATTGGGATACAGAGACGCCTACAATCTTCAAATCACCACCTTTTCACCTTTTACTATCATCAGTATCCATCAGGTTGTCAATATTGGAGCCAGACTTGTCTTTCCATTTTACCGGAAGTTGTAATGTAGAAGTAAAGTCTTTCATAACCTTTCTAGCAAGTCGTTTCCATGATACTTTACCATTATCAACATGGGATGTAGACAAGAGGAATCGTCCAGAGGTTTAGACAGTCAAGGTTGGGTTAGTGTTTTCTTTGGGTGACAGAATCAGTGGGGATGGGTTCAGAGTGGGTTGGCCAGATTTGGGTAAGGGGGTATAGGACTAGGAAGTGATGTAGGGAAAGTAGCATTTTGCATGTTTTCAGTAGGTGAAAGTGGTACAAATAAAGGTGTAGTGGACCTTAGAGGGGCCTCCGTACAAGGTAGGGTAGGTTGTTTAGGATGGAGCTATTCTGAAGCTGTGGTGATAGTAGCTTAGTCTGTATGAGTTTCAGGGTCCGAGCTTATAAGGACAGGTGAGGAGGGAACATGTATAATGGGTGAGGTGGGTAAAGGTGTGGTGTTGTACTGTTGATTATTGGGCTTTTGTTGTGCTGATTTGACATTCATATTTTTTAACTTTGTTAAGATATCCTCAGTTGACATAATACCTGGAGAGACTGGATTCTTATCCATCGTTGTATGGCTACTGGTATCACCTCGTGCAATCTCCATAGGACATCCCCCTGTACCCTTAGTGTCTGACTTTCCTATATGGTTAAAAACCAAACCTCTTTTGACCCACTGCATTGTCGATGCCTGACACTAACTTCCCCGTCTTCCTGAAAGGAGAGGCTCTAATAACATCACCATACGTCATTATCATGTTGTTATCCTCTGGTTCCTCCACACTGTCACATTGTTTGAAACTATAACCATATCTACCATATATGTAACAAAAGGTAGGTAGGGATTCATATTTGAGAGGGATCCAGAATGGTTTCCTCCTACACTTATATTAGTGCCACGCAAAAGAGGATTTTTGAGATCCATATCAACTCTAAATCGCATGTATTTACCCAACCAACTTCATTATTGGTAAACCATTCCAGGAAACTGCCCATTTTTGCACTGGTTAATCGAGCCACTGATTCCTTCATGCAACTCAAGGGAACATCGTAAGCCTGGACCCAGATAGAACAAGAGAGAAACTGTATGGAAGATGATTGTTCATTCCCAATAACTCGGCGAAGAAGCAATAAATTCTTATCGAAGTGCCATGGTTCATTATCTAAAACAAATTTAATATCTCTCCAATGATGAAATTAGAACATGAATACATCTTTGCCCCATTCACGAATCACAATCACAATTCCATGCTTCGGTTTTCAAACCTTAGTCATCGTGTCCATGAAGATGAATTTGTTAAAAGGTTTCATAGTCCATAATTTACCTGCGACACATAGTTGAGCTTGCCTATCAAGACTCTCAAAAACTTCATCCAAAACTTCTATTACCTCTGCCCATTCACGAATCACAATTCCATGCTTCGGTTTTCAAACCTTAGTCATCGTGTCCATGAAGATGAATTTGTTAAAAGGTTTCATAGTCCATAATTTACCTGCGACACATAGTTGAGCTTGCCTATCAAGACTCTCAAAAACTTCATCCAAAACTTCTATTACCTCTGCTTCTGCCACAATTGGAGTGGTACATGTTTGATCAGTCATTGCTCCCTCTTGACTCCACAACAGATTTGCCAAAGCTAGATAATGAAAACAAAAGTGCAATCGAAACCAAAACTTAACACAGAAACATATTAGAAAAAAGAAATAAAGAAACAAAAGCAGAGAGGAGACATGGACATGAAGACAAAAAAATAAAACTCAATATATGAGGGACTATAGCCGTCAAAAGACAAAACCTTAGCTCTCACCGTGGAGAAGATGTGAGCTCTCACAAAAGGAGAGAAAATCTTTCTTTTTCAAATATAGTGTCGATTATTTTGTAGTTGATTAGCTGTTAACAAGTTGTTATTTATAATTTAATCTAATGGATTATTACTAAAGAATTAAAATCTAATGGTAAAGAATAATTTCTTTATTGATAGAATATTATCATTTTCCATTGTATTTTTGTCCACGAATAGAATAAATCTTTACCAAAGTTTTGAGGGACTAATGCCCAAATGTATAAATCCATCCATGTATTTTATACAAAAGAAAATATCATAATGTTTTTAATTTTTATTTTAATACATTAAACATTTCAACTTATAAAATTACATCTATTAAATACTTTAATTTAGTAAAATTTTTTGATTAAATATATCAACTTATAACCATATATACAATTAATATTTTACATATAAAAATTTAAAAATATTAAAAAATTATCATTGATAACGTTGAGCAGTTCTCAATGTTTCTAAAATTATAAATTTAAGGGTAAAATAAATTCAATGTAAAATTTAAAATGCAATATAATTGTTGGCCAAAAGTACAAAGATGAATATCTATGTTTGGGCGTAACCGAATTAAAACTGTAATCCTCTCTTTCCTTGCTAATCGCTAAGCCACAGAAAAAAACAATGCCGAAATCCACTAAATATGTATTACCTATTCTCCCCATATCCCTAAATCTTATATAAATAAATCCTTATACATGACTCGATTACACAACACAATTACATTTAGTGGATTTCGACATTCAAGAAAAAAGAATGTCGAAATCCACCAAATATTTCTTGCCTTTTCTCTTTGTTCTTATCTGCAACCTTTCTTCTTTATTTACATTTGCAGCCACGGTAGATGATACCGTCTTTGAATCTTTCCTTCAATGCCTACAGAACAACACAGACCCAAAAGACCAAGTCACAGATCTTGTTTACACGAAAACCAACGAAGCCTACACTTCAGTTCTTCAATCATACATTAGAAACGCTAGATTAAACAAATCAACAACTCCAAAACCCTCTATAATTTTAACTCCAAAACAAGTATCCCATGTCCAATCATTTGTAATCTGCACTAAAAAAGTTGGTTATCAGCTTAAAATTCGCAGTGGAGGACATGATTATGAGGGAATTTCTTATATTTCAGATTCGCCGTATTTTATTCTTGATATGTTTAATCTAAGATCGATTAATGTTGATATAAAGAATAACTCTGCTTGGGTTGAATCGGGTGCTACACTTGGGGAATTATATTACAGAATTTGGGAAACGAGTAAAGTCCATGGCTTTCCTGCTGGGATTTGTCCTACGGTCGGTGTTGGTGGCCATATTAGTGGAGGTGGCTACGGTAATATGTTAAGAACATATGGGTTAGCTGTTGATAATGTTGTTGATGCTGTAATGGTTGATGTTAATGGTAAGGTTTTGGATAGGAAACAAATGGGTGAGGACTTATTTTGGGCAATTAGAGGTGGTGGTGGTGGAAGTTTTGGGGTTATTATTTCTTATAAAGTTCAACTTGTTTCTGTTCCTGAAATAGTTTCAGTTTTTAGAGTTCAAAAATATATTGATGAAGATAAAACTACTGTTGATCTTGTTTATAAGTATCAATCAGTTGCTCCGACAATTGACAATGGTCTTTTTATGAGGATGTTAGTGCAGCCATCGAGTTCAAAGATCAACAAAGGTCAAAAAACAATTAGCATTACTGTTAATGCTTTATATTTAGGAAATGCAGACAGTGTTGTGAGTTTACTGAGTAAAGAATTGCCTGAATTAGGGTTAATGAAAGAGAATTGCAGTGAAATGAGTTGGATTGATTCTGTTCTTTGGTGGGCTAATTTTGACAATGAGAATTGCAGTGAAATGCAGTGAAATGAGTTGGATTGATTCTGTTCTTTGGTGGGCTAATTTTGACAATGCTACTTCTCCTAATGCTCTTCTGGACAGAAAACTCAATTCTGCAAATTTCTTGAAAAGAAAATCAGACTATGTGCAAAACCCAATTTCAATAGATGGGCTTAATTCAATTTTTACGAAAATGATTGAGTTGGGTAAAACTGGGTTAGTTTTCAATCCTTATGGAGGCAAAATGGCCGAAATTCCAGCCACTGATGCTCCTTTCCCTCACCGGGCCGGAAATTTATATAAAGTTCAGTATTCAGTGAATTGGGAAGAAGCAGGAGATGCAGCAGAGAGCGAGTATTTGGGTCAAATAAGGGAATTATATAGTTTTATGACTCCATTTGTGTCAAATAATCCAAGAAGTGCATTTTTGAATTACAGAGATCTTGATATTGGTATTATGGAGCCTGGTAAAAACAGCTTTGAAGAAGGTAGTGTTTATGGGTTTAAGTATTTTAATGGAAACTTTGATAGACTGGTTAAAGTGAAGACTGCTGTTGATCCGGAGAATTTCTTCAGGAATGAACAGAGCATCCCTACTCTTCCAAGCAAGGCTTAATAATTTACTGCTGATTTTTTAAGTACTAGAAAAATACAATGATTGTTCATTGTTATTGAAATAGAAATTAATGTGTTGTGTGTGTATATATATTATATATATATAATTATTTACTAATGAAAAAAAGAATATTCAAAGGAAACTCATTACTTATTTTTTTTCCATATTTGTTATTTTTTTTTGTCTAGGCATGACATCATTATTTCTGTGGTTTGTAATGGAAGTGCTTTTTTTTTTTTTTTTTTTTTTTTTTTTTTTTTTTTGTGGTAAATAAAAAAGACTTAGAAACACTAACTATAGCACATGCAGGCATGAGCAATGCCACAGAAATCACGAGCATGAGAGACGCGCCCCCCATAAAAAATTGGAGGAAGCAAAATTTAGCTAGAAAATCAGCATATGAATTCGCATCATGAAAGACGTGAAACAAATGATATGAGGATGAGTGGAAAGCGCTCGAAACTGTTAATTTAACCGAAAACTGAATTAAAGTGATTCTATTTCAGTAACTATGGTTCAATTTTTAAATAATCGGTTCGATTTAATTTTAATTTTTTTAAATATTTCGATTCAATTTGATTTTGAAAAAAAATAAATAAATTATGCATTTTTAGCTTACGAAAAATAATTGAAGCTGTTTTTTCTCCACTGGAAGTTCTATCTTCGAGAGCTCAAATTAAGCCAAGTGCTGATATGGCAGGGGCCTTTTGGCCCAGAGTTTATTAGCTTTTTGGTTATTTCCCTCCAATATAAAGCCAATGAACTTCTCAAGCACTTTCACTTTTTCTTTGAAAACATAAGAATTTACTTGACGTTGAATGATCGGAATTTATTGTTGGAAAAATTATAATCATAATCCTATCCCTCTGTTTTATTGAAATTAACTATTTTATCATTATATTTTAAAAACACGGCTATACCAGCATACCTCATGTTTTTAATCCCTTAAACATGATTTCTCTTACGTTCATTTTATACATTTTTCAGACGTTAAATTGATATGGAATCACTTCAATAACTTTAATTAAAAGACAAAATCAATTTTATTTTGAAATCAATTTTATCTCTTTGCGATATATCGTCAGTACTACTATCTACAGTGGTCGAAAAATTGAGTTATCTCATAATCTTTCAACCTAACCACCAAAATAATTAAAATCTTATAGGGAACTCAAATTTTACATCCATTTTCCTTTTTCATTATCAATTAAAACTGATATCAAGAAATTTTTAAACCTCAAAACTTTAAAGAGAGAAAAATTTGTTCATATTTCTCTCTAAATTGAAAATCATAATTTTGTTATTATTTCAACAATAACAACAACAAAATGTAATGATTTCCACTATATTAATCTCTTCATCTTCTTATTCTTTTTTTTTTTTTTTAATTTTAGAAAGAGAAATTGTATAATTGCTATTATTCTTGGTTTCTGCTGATTGATTCATTCGGAGCAGCTTTATGTGGCAAAAAGCTACAATACATTGTTCTAATACAGGCAATCCAGTGCTTAAATACTCTTGCAATGATCAAATTAGAACTTGCCAAGCTTACCTTGTCTCTAGATCTAAACTCCTTCAAACAAGGTAGGGTGTTAAAATGGGTCACACATGAAAATAAACAAATTATGTATGACGTTAAACAAGTTGGTGTTATAAATGTGTCACTCATATATGACGCAAATATACATGTGTCGTGTCGCAGATTGACACGCGAGTTAAGCGAGTGACTCGTTTATTTAGGAGGAAAGAAGTAATTTTAGTGTCAAATACAAATACTCTACTAAATCCTATTTAAACTTTATTGTTGTATTAATTTTTTTATTTTAGTCATAAATCTTGAAAAATCTATGCATTTTATGTATAAAAAAATATTTTTAAATATGATTTGTATTAAATAGGTTAAAATTAAAAAATATTATAAGCAGGTTAAGTGGGTCATATATAGGTCAACATGACCCATTTAACCTGTTTATGATATTAGGCGGATTACACGAGTTGTATATGAGTCAATACGATCCACTTATCTTGTTTATAATATTAGGCGGGTTAAAAGTGTTATGCTCCTATCTTCTTAATTTTCATATGTCTTCATATTGACAAATTTAACACGATTATCAAATAAGTCATGTTCTTATTAACTTTTAATCATATTACGTGTTAAGCGAATTCGTATCAAACTCAACACGCCAATTTATTTTGACACCGTAAAATAAAGGGAGCCGAAGCTCAAAACCAATCCAAGCAGAAGGCGAATAAGAAATACCAGCTAAGTCTTGACATGATCAAGCCAGACAACCAAGCCAGGTAATAAATATGAAATTACTGTAGAAATAAACTGTAATGACATTTAATCAATATTAAAAAAAAAAAAAACTTGTTTCCAAGCAACAGCTTAAACATACACCTTACCCCATGTCCCTAAATCTTATGTATAAATAAATCCTTACACCTGACTCGATTACACAACAGAATCATTGTCCCTCTCCCTCTCTTTCTTTGCTAATCGCTAAAACAAAGAAAAAAGAATGTCAAAATGCACTAAGTATCTCTTGCCTTTTCTCTTTGTTCTTATTTGCAACCTTTCTTCTTTATTTACATTTGCAGCCACGGTAGATGATACCGTCTTTGAATCTTTCCTTCAATGCCTAAAGAACAACACAGACCCAAAAGACCAAATCACAAATCTTGTTTACACGAAAACCAACAAAGCCTACACTTCAGTTCTTCAATCTTACATTAGAAACGCTAGATTAAACAAATCAGCAACTCCAAAACCCTCAATAATTTTAACTCCAAAACAAGTATCCCATGTCCAATCATTTGTAATCTGCACTAAAAAAGTTGGTTATCAGCTTAAAATTCGCAGTGGAGGACATGATTATGAGGGAATTTCTTATATTTCAGATTCGCCGTATTTTATTCTTGATATGTTTAATCTAAGATCGATTAATGTTGATATAAAGAATAACTCTGCTTGGGTTGAATCGGGTGCTACACTTGGTGAATTATATTACAGAATTTGGGAAAAGAGTAAAGTCCATGGCTTTCCCGCTGGGATTTGTCCTACGGTTGGTGTTGGGGGCCATATTAGTGGAGGTGGGTATGGCAATATGTTAAGGAAATATGGGTTAGCTGTTGATAATGTTATTGATGCTGTAATCGTTGATGTTAGTGGTAAGGTTTTGGATAGGAAACAAATGGGTGAGGATTTATTCTGGGCAATTAGAGGTGGCGGTGGTGGAAGTTTTGGGGTTATTATTTCTTATAAAGTTCAACTTGTTTCTGTTCCTGAAATAGTTACAGTTTTTAGAGTTCAAAAATACAGTGATGAAGATAAAACTACCGTTGATCTTGTTTATAAGTATCAATCAGTTGCTCCGACAATTGACAATGGTCTTTTTATGAGGATGTTAGTGCAGCCAGGGAGTTCAAACATCAAGAAAGGTCAAAAAACAATTAGGATTACTGTTATTGCTTTATATTTAGGAAGTGCAGATAGTGTTGTGAGTTTACTGAGTAAAGAATTGCCTGAATTGGGGTTAAAGAAAGAGAATTGCAGTGAAATGAGTTGGATTGATTCTGTTCTTTGGTGGGCTAATTTTGACAATGCTACTTCTCCTAATGCTCTTCTGGACCTTCTCCTAATGCTCTTCTGGACAGAAACCTCAACTCTGCAAATTTCTTGAAAAGAAAATCAGACTATGTGCAGAACCCAATTTCAAAAGATGGGCTTAATTCAATTTTTACGAGAATGATTGAATTGGGTAAAACTGGGTTAGTTTTCAATCCTTATGGAGGCAGAATGGCTGAAATTCCAGCCTCTGAAGCTCCTTTCCCTCACCGGGCCGGAAATTTGTACAAAATTCAGTATTCAGTGAATTGGGAAGATGCAGGAATTGCTGCAGAAAGCGAGTATTTGCGTCAAATAAGGGAATTATATAGTTTTACAACTCCATTTGTGTCAAAGAATCCAAGAAGTGCATTTTTGAATTACAGAGATCTTGATATTGGTATTATGGAGCCTGGTAAAAACAGTTTTGAAGAAGGTAGTGTTTATGGGTACAAGTATTTTAATGGAAACTTTGATAGATTGGTTAAAGTGAAGACCTCTGTTGATCCAGAGAATTTCTTCAGGAATGAGCAGAGCATCCCTACTCTTCCAAGTAAGACATAGATACAGATATAATTTAATGGTGATATTTTAAGTAATACTAAAAATAAACATCATTGTTTGCTGTAATAGAAATTTCATTTTGCTGTAATATATTATTATTAATATATATATATATATATATATATTATATAATATTTATATAATATACATATATTTTTTTTTTTTTTTTTGATATTGGCTTGCTCATGCATCGTATATTTTAATAACTGGAAAATGCCAAATCTTCAACTATGACAATTCAGTAGGTGTGAGCAAAGTTGTCTGATTTATACAAACACCTTGAATGAATAGATTCATATTTCAGTATAATCTTCAGTTAAGTTTCAGTAAATTTTGATGCATCTATGAATTTTTATCCTGTATTTGATTTCAATCCATCTTTGTATGGGATTGGCTTTGGTAACTAAAATAACTAGAATAATAAATAAATAATCATTATTAGACACTACATTGAAAACGAGCTAAAGATAGGTGCAATAGCAGCAGGCAATCCTGACTTTAATTGGATGTGGCTTTTTTTTGATATGCTTGTATGATCGTTATTTTAATGGAAAATGCAAATCTTCAACTTGCAATTAGTAGGTGTGAGCAAATTGTTTGATTAATACAAAACTGAAATGAATGATTCTATTTCAGTAAATTTCAGTTTAGTTTTAGTAATTTTGATGCATTATGATTTTAGTCCTTATTGAATTTCAATCATCTTTGTTGGATTTGGCTTTGGTAACTAAAAATAGAATAATAATAATAATATTATTAAATAATTTGAAAAAACGAGCTAAAGTAGGTGCATGATAGGCGGCAATCTGCTTTTTGGATGTGAGCTTTTTCTTTTTCAGTCGTTTACTGTATATGCAATTACTTTAGACTTAAGAGGACAAGGATCGGTGAGTCTTACGTTGTAAACGCGTT